CAGAATGCATTATAGTAATATTTTTATTACTAACCATTCCTACCATGACAAAATTTAAATCCCCATTAAGTTCTTTAAGGTTTTTAAACCTCAAGTTTTACAAGCACTGAGGTTCTAAACCTACTCTGCTTTCATGCCCCAAAATGTCACCAATGATCACACTAGTTTTCAGCTTTACTTCTCCTGGAAGGTTTTCATTGGGCAGAGGACAGCCAAAGATATTAGCTAGGTAAAACTAAGCCCACCAAAAAGCAAAACAAATAGAAGATACTATGATTTTGAACTATTTAATTAAGCTCTAAAACAAACAGGGAGCAATGAGCTATTTCCCCTCAGAAAGGATAAAATAGAATTCACTTTCATGTTTATACTGAAACAGGTCCACTGAGCATCCTCTGCAAACATTAAATAATGATCACATAATATCAAAAATGAAAACCCCTTATTATTTATTGAACTGGAGCCCAAGCTCACAAGAAGCCTTTTAAATAAGATTCTCAAAAAACTTCTTATAAATGCTCTCTCATTATCATTCACCTTCATTTGAAAAGGTAAGTGTCTTCATCTCCATTTCAGAGTTAGGGGTTAACAGAAAGGTTAAACAAATTACATAAAATTATATTAAAAGCCTGAGAACTGTAGAGACCAAGGTTTGTTATCCCTCGAGAACTGGAAGTCTTTCTTTGAAAAATTAAGCAACTTACCTAATTATTTTTAGGAGAGTGTTTCACAAAAATACAATATTTTATCTGTACATCATGGTTTAGAAATAAAAGTCAAAAAATAATAACTGTGCTAAATTAAAAAAAAAAAAATCAGTGTGGTTTCCAGAATCCTTTCTATTCTGTGTACCCACCCATGTGGCTGGAGATTTGAAATGCTATTTAAGTCTCATTTTCCCTCAGAAGCTAACCTCTGTGGAATGCTGTTAAGGGGGAAAAATCTTTTCTGTCATTTGACTTTAACTTATGATAAATTAGCTTAGCCTAGTTTCTTAGAAAATTGCCCAAGAAATGACTACAGAAAATTAAATACCACGACTTCAAAGAGGCAAACACACAGCCTTCAAATTCCGACCTCAGAGAATAATCCTTCCTTTCTCATGCTTTGGAGAGATGTGAGTAAAGAAATCGTACTAGGGCATGGTAATGAACCATCTTTCAAATGACTTTTCTATCAATCTTCTTTTCAAAGGGTAATAAAGTGATGATTATTTCTGGGCAGTTTCTGGGAAGTTATCATCTCATTTCAATAGTCACCAGTAAAGGACTGCACTCTGGTGTTATCACCGATGGTGATAAGGGCAAGAACTGGTTGAGAATTCAATAGACAAGGTGTAGGTTGTTAAAAGCTATTTCCTGGAAAATTAATACACAGAGAGATCAAAAGAATTGTGTTGGGTCTAACAGAAGTGGTAATCATTTTCTTCTAGATTAAAAATGCAAATCTGATTTATTACCTACTGTATGAAATCCACTATCATTTGAGGGTTTCATTATTTCTTTCTACCAATATTGGTGAAAGTCTTTTATCCGCCATGCTTTGCGTTAGATGTTGGTGACTGATTGAGAAGGACAAGACCTGACAAGGAGGTCTGTGTCACATCTTCTAGAACCAGAATGGTTGGTCTCATCTAAAACAACAGTAACCACCACTACCACCACCATGCTTTTTGGAAAGGATTGACTAAATGGTTGTTGGGAAATCTTAGTTACCTGGTACCTATTTTGCAAAGCTACAGAAAATAACAACAGGGCAAGAAACACCCAAAACAACATGTGATTTCATTTCTCAGAGCTATAAGAAGCTTGAAGATAGCACATAGATGGCACTATGGGAACGTGCAGCCTTCTGGGAAGAAACTTGTAGGCACTGGATGCCTTCAAGTGAGGACTCCCTGGAACCTGGCTGCATCCTCCCCAGATTCAGATCCCATATGTAATGAGGACTTTATGCTCAGGCAAGAATTATGCAGTCTGTTTTACCTCATTCGTCTTTAAAACCAATCCTAGCTATGTCTTCTCTTGACCCAATTCTCTTATCTCAGTCTGAACCTACACCCCACTAGCAGGCAGAGCACAGGACACACCTCTGTGTTGACATTTGCCCAGAAATCAAACTTTTTTTTTTTTTTAGCATTAACTGGAAATCCAAATTTGAAACATCAACAACAAAAAGAAACATGAAGTACAAAGTCTTTTGTGAACAAAGAAACATTACATTCACCACGGCATCCCCATCACTGATGTGGTACAGAGAAGACACTTAACATCTATTGAGTATCAGCCCCCTAGCACAGTGGTTAAGTGCTGTACATTGGGAAACAGGTCCCACATGGCTGATCACAGTTCAAATCCCAGCCCCAGTAATTTGAAAATCACACTGAGTACACATGCACACATGCCCCAAATCCCAAAAGGATAAAGAAATGGAGGAGAAAGGCTTGTGACATGACTATGCCCCACTGCAGGATTCTCTCTCTCTCTCTCTCTCTCTCTCTCTCTCTCTCTCCCCTCTTCTCTTTCTTTGGCAGCACATATGCCTCTAGTAAAAATAAATAAATAATAACTGTTGAATAAAATTGACTGAATGAATGACTACTCCACCCTTTTGTGGTCATGAATCACTCAAAGTCAGATGACCACATCAGTATTTGCATGCAGGCAATCCCACAGTGATTTTGACCCAGCAGTTCATCTTTTTAAAATGCTACTCTGCTGATTTTTCTTAAAATAAGAAAACAATAGAAAGCACACCACAGAAATTTGAAATCAAATGTATTTGCTTTCAAGTTCTATTCCAAGTAACAAATATCTGACCACTGAATTGATGCCTTTAGTTCAGCTCTTGGGCTGGCACACTCTGCCTCTTTCCACACCGCGCTGAGTACCAATAGATCCCTTATTGATTTGTAGAACAGGATAAAGCCATTAAGTCCTCCCACAAAACATTAACATTTTCTCCTTGTTCCCAATCAGGTTTCCAGAATCCTTTCTATTCTGTGTACCCACCCATGTGGCTGGAGATTTGAAATGCTATTTAAGTCTCATTTTCCCTCAGAAGCTAACCTCTGTGGAATAAAATGCTGTTAAGGGGGAAAAATCTTTTCTGTCATTTGACTTTAACTTATGATAAATTAGCTTCAACTAGTTTCTTAGAAAATTGCCCAAGAAATGACTACAGAAAATTAAATACCACGACTTCAAAGAGGCAAACACACAGCCTTCAAATTCCGACCTCAGAGAATAATCCTTCCTTTCTCATGCTTTGGAGAGATGTGAGTAAAGAAATCGTACTAGGGCATGGTAATGAACCATCTTTCAAATGACTTTTCTATCAATCTTCTTTTCAAAGGGTAATAAAGTGATGATTATTTCTGGGCAGTTTCTGGGAAGTTATCATCTCATTTCAATAGTCACCAGTAAAGGACTGCACTCTGGTGTTATCACCGATGGTGATAAGGGCAAGAACTGGTTGAGAATTCAATAGACAAGGTGTAGGTTGTTAAAAGCTATTTCCTGGAAAATTAATACACAGAGAGATCAAAAGAATTGTGTTGGGTCTAACAGAAGTGGTAATCATTTTCTTCTAGATTAAAAATGCAAATCTGATTTATTACCTACTGTATGAAATCCACTATCATTTGAGGGTTTCATTATTTCTTTCTACCAATATTGGTGAAAGTCTTTTATCCGCCATGCTTTGCGTTAGATGTTGGTGACTGATTGAGAAGGACAAGACCTGACAAGGAGGTCTGTGTCACATCTTCTAGAACCAGAATGGTTGGTCTCATCTAAAACAACAGTAACCACCACTACCACCACCATGCTTTTTGGAAAGGATTGACTAAATGGTTGTTGGGAAATCTTAGTTACCTGGTACCTATTTTGCAAAGCTACAGAAAATAACAACAGGGCAAGAAACACCCAAAACAACATGTGATTTCATTTCTCAGAGCTATAAGAAGCTTGAAGATAGCACATAGATGGCACTATGGGAACGTGCAGCCTTCTGGGAAGAAACTTGTAGGCACTGGATGCCTTCAAGTGAGGACTCCCTGGAACCTGGCTGCATCCTCCCCAGATTCAGATCCCATATGTAATGAGGACTTTATGCTCAGGCAAGAATTATGCAGTCTGTTTTACCTCATTCGTCTTTAAAACCAATCCTAGCTATGTCTTCTCTTGACCCAATTCTCTTATCTCAGTCTGAACCTACACCCCACTAGCAGGCAGAGCACAGGACACACCTCTGTGTTGACATTTGCCCAGAAATCAAACTTTTTTTTTTTTTTAGCATTAACTGGAAATCCAAATTTGAAACATCAACAACAAAAAGAAACATGAAGTACAAAGTCTTTTGTGAACAAAGAAACATTACATTCACCACGGCATCCCCATCACTGATGTGGTACAGAGAAGACACTTAACATCTATTGAGTATCAGCCCCCTAGCACAGTGGTTAAGTGCTGTACATTGGGAAACAGGTCCCACATGGCTGATCACAGTTCAAATCCCAGCCCCAGTAATTTGAAAATCACACTGAGTACACATGCACACATGCCCCAAATCCCAAAAGGATAAAGAAATGGAGGAGAAAGGCTTGTGACATGACTATGCCCCACTGCAGGATTCTCTCTCTCTCTCTCTCTCTCTCTCTCTCTCTCTCTCCCCTCTTCTCTTTCTTTGGCAGCACATATGCCTCTAGTAAAAATAAATAAATAATAACTGTTGAATAAAATTGACTGAATGAATGACTACTCCACCCTTTTGTGGTCATGAATCACTCAAAGTCAGATGACCACATCAGTATTTGCATGCAGGCAATCCCACAGTGATTTTGACCCAGCAGTTCATCTTTTTAAAATGCTACTCTGCTGATTTTTCTTAAAATAAGAAAACAATAGAAAGCACACCACAGAAATTTGAAATCAAATGTATTTGCTTTCAAGTTCTATTCCAAGTAACAAATATCTGACCACTGAATTGATGCCTTTAGTTCAGCTCTTGGGCTGGCACACTCTGCCTCTTTCCACACCGCGCTGAGTACCAATAGATCCCTTATTGATTTGTAGAACAGGATAAAGCCATTAAGTCCTCCCACAAAACATTAACATTTTCTCCTTGTTCCCAATCAAGAAATCACCCAAATTTTGCACCTCCTACCACCAAAGTAAAAGTGATACAAATTATCCCCTGCGCAATTCAAACCTACAAGAATCAGATCTAATCATTGGCAAACAAACTCCTTGGCTTTCTCTCTAGGCAGCATTTTCCCTGAAGTACAACCTAAGGATAAAGGAGCATAGATTTAAAAGGCAGGCTGAGGCCCGGCCTCTGTGGTGCAGTTGGTGGATGTGACTTCAGAGCTGGAAACCATCTGCTGACCACAGATCAAATCCTAGCCCTGCTGGCCTCAAAACATGCAAGGCAAATGCATCCAGGATGATGGGCGGGAGGACTGAGGAAGGTATGAGCTCCACTGGGCCCTGTGGATGGTGCTTCGCTCTCGTGCATGTGTTCAGTCATGCATCACGCATGTGTGCACACACGCTCTATCATGAGAAAAGGAAAGGAAAACACTGAGAAGCCTCCTAAGCAAGTGAGCTAATGTAAAGACTGAAGATAAGTTGACTTTTCTTTAAACCCAGGAGGTGTGCTGCTGGTAGACTGGAACAATAATAAAGGGGATGCAGAGGGAGCAGGGAGAGGTTTCCTAGCTCTCCTTCTCTCCTTGTTTGAAAACCTTGAGCTCTTTTCTGAGGTAGGATGCCCCAGCCCAGTGTGAAAGAGGGATGAGTGATCCCCCAGACAGGCTATGCAGTCCAGTTTCCAGGAATCCTTCACATCCGGCCTCAGAAATAGATGACATGTTCTCAGGCCATACTGAGAAATATGTACAGGGTCCTTTAAGCCACAGGAACTCTGTACTGGAAGGATCACACACCTGTGAGGCATGTTTTAGGTCTAAAACCACATCTTCTCTCATAGGCCCTGACATACAGTAATTTAGCCTGTAATATTATATGCACAGCTTTGGAAAAGACAGCACTGTTTTAGAGGCTGGCCTAAGTCAACTCTAACTGATAGTACCCCTGAGCTTAAGTGAAGCGAAACACTTTTTTAATAATTTCCAGTTTTACATATCCTGTTTTCGTGTTCGAAAAAAAAAAATGAATTCAGGGCATTTGTTTTAGATTTCCTTTCTCCTTTGTTTTAGAGAAATCTGAAATTCTCAGCCATCATTATTCACTGACAATACCTCGAGCCCACAAGATTTCACCAGGGTACAAAGGGTTTAAGTTAGGCTGTGCAACAGTGTGCTCTGGTCTGTGCAAACACCCTCACTGCCTTGTCTTCCCTCTAGCTGCGATTCAAAGTCCTTTGCTGCTGGCAAAGAGAAAGTCAAATGACTTTGCTGTGTACATGTACAAACAAAAGTAAAATATGTACATGAAGTGATGACTGGCACTGGGGGCAGGGTCTGCACACACAGTGAGAAAATAAATTAAATTTACCCCTGGGTCCTTTGTTCCCAGGGTTCCAAGTGGCCAGTGAAAGCAATGAGGTATAAAGAAGCAGTATTCCCAGCTCACTCGCCCAAGTATCTGCACGTGGAACTGGAGAACGGCAAATGTGTGCAAAGTGCCCTGTACACAGGTTAATGTCCAGAAAAACCATTTATCATATACCAATGAGATCACTGGAGAGGAGATGTGAGGCTCAAAAAGTGTGTCCCAAGGAGGTCCACAGGGTAAGGCTGTCCTGATGGTGGCTCTGAGTAAGCATTATACGTCAATCAAAGTCACCATGGAGTTCTTGGCAGGAAGGACAGGGCCATGGTCTTCTTGCTCTTCCCTTCTTAGAGTCGTGTGTGATCTTCTGGGGGTTTTCCACCCATTTTCCTTGTTGGAGGTTCCTCAGCCGATTCTCTTTTGATTTCAAGTCCAAAGGTAGATTTTATTTTCCCGGGGGAATAGTCATTTCTCTTTAAATCTGCAAGGAAGGCAATTAAAGCGGTTATAGAGGACCCAAGAATAGGCTGTTGATGCAGACAGCTTGGACTTCAGGCTCTGCTGCCTGTTCAGAGAGGCCTCTGCTTCCTCAGGCCATGGATATGTGGAACTCAAACCCTGCGACTATGTCCGTGCTAAGCCCCCTCCCTACCCCACAACCCAGGTGCAGCTCTACAACCCACCCCCACCATCTCAGATCCTGTTCACTGCCCAAGAGGAAGGGGAGGAGAGATTTGGTTGCCTGACACAGTATCAGAGTCCCACAACCTGGCCAGAAGGCAGAGAGGCCAAGGTGGACACGGGCATTCTCACCGCCAAATGATGGGGAGGTCAGAAACGGCAGCCAAATCAGTGGGCCCCAGGTATCAGGGGTGAGTTTTCTGCAATAATAGCTGCACCTTAGTTTGCTACCTCTAAAAGCTTCATCCAACTCCCAGAGCTATCCTTCCATAGGCCTCCTTCTTCCATTTTAAAAAGAAAATTAAAAGAAAACAAGAATAGGGATAACCACCAGAAGAGCGGCATGGAGGACAGTGGGTGCGAAGTGTTTGTATTAACTTTTCATTCTATTCTGATTAATTCTGCTAGGCTTAAACATGGATTTCTAGTATTAGTTTTAAATGTTAGGTGGAGAGGCTATGGACATAAAACTAGTATCATTATATTTTAATAATAACCGATGTTTTTAGAACATAGGCTCACATTCATTAATCTAATCATCACACTGGTCTCTGTGAGCCTGGCGTGAGCACCCTTACAGGTGAGAAAACCCAAGTGGAAAGTCTGGGATCTGAACTCAGTCTGACTCTAGATCCTGTGCTCTTATACTATCCTAAATTGTCCCTCTCAAAAAAGTACACCATAAACCACAAAGAAAAATCACCTCTAATCCTGCTTTCCAGACTAAACTTTTTCTTCATTCAGATTGCCCAATGTCTGAGTAAATGAGGATATTTCTTGTTTCTACTTAAATGTTAACTTAAAACGAACAGATTTTGAAAACAAACATGACCTAGTAGCAGTTGTGGAAGAATTATTAAATTATGCACTCAAAATTATGCACTCGAAGTGCAGTGTACAGAATGATCTCAACCTTAATCATACAGAACAGTTAAGTGGGCTCAAAGATTGGATGTGGTGACATGGGTGTCCCATGTCTCCCCATCTCCTGGCTGTTCAGATCTAGTTGCTGTGTCTTCAAGAATGGAGTCTGTCCTGTCCAGGAAACAGTGACTCAGACATGGGAGAGGCCAGTGCTGGAGGACGCTGACTTAAAGAGTCAGATTCCAGTCTGTAGTCATGGGATGACAGATATTTGTAAGCTCCCACCTCCCAGAGACCCTTACCTGGGGTCTTGGATGCCTTTCGGCCTAGCCCCAGCCCATTCCTAGGCTCCTTCTAACCAGAAGGGAGGCCAGTGGGAAGCTCAAGCCACGGGCCAGTGGGCTGGGCATGGATCTCTTTACCCGGGCCTGGCGTGTGCTCTGTGAGACTGAGCCCTGGGCAGCTATGAGGGTTATGGCCCTCCCCTTTGTGCTCCATTGTGACCTTTCCACCCCAAGTACTCACCAGCACCACCTCAGGGTAACACACTCCTTACACTGGAATTGGAAGCCTGCTGCAAATCCCATTCTTGTGCAATGCCTTGTCCACAAGGGCTCCCCCTACCTCTAACCCCAACAAGATTAGAAATTGTCCTTTGCTGTAAATTTACACCTGCGCCATCCCAGGTTACAACGGATGGTGCTCTTTAGCTGACTTCCAATTTAGAGTAAGATCATTTATTATAAGGCGAGAAAGGCTGCTCAGCTTAAAATACGTGAAATTCCATTGTAAGGACAGGCTTGGGATGACCTAAGGAAAATAGTGAGTTAGCTGAGACAGACATAAAGCACCCCTCTGAGACAAAAGAACAAAAATGCAACAGATTTAGAACTGACTATTTGAAGGATACAAGCCTCCAGTACTTGCTTTTTTTTTTTTTAAGAATTATTTAATTTCACTCATCAATATTGTCTTTTCAATTTGACCAGAGAGAGAGAGACAAAGTGAGAAAGCAAGTTGCCAGGTCTAGGACCTGAACCATGGTGGACCATGTGGGAGTCCAGTGCCCAACCACCACAACACTTGCCAGCCCCAGCAACTTGCTTTTATATTAGGAATATTTTCTGTGGTGACTAGTGATTTCAGAAAAAGTAGGCTACACTATCAAATCAGATTTTTTAAAATACTGAAATGTGTGTAAAGTGGCAGGGTTTTATAAATAAAAAGCACTACTTAGACAGCCACTGGGGCCCCCCAGGACCCCACCTCCCAAGTAGAGAACTTGCCCTTGGAGTGACTGCGACAAGTACTGGGCCCCATGTTTTATCACATTTTGGCAGAATCTAAAGTAAATTCCTGTCCCTTTAATCCCTTTACAGACTTAAAAATTTTGCAGTCAGAAAGTCAGCCTCTGCGAATGTGAATGAGATAAAAATGTGATTAAGATTTTCTAGTCCATCCCAGGTTACAATGAATGTCGTTCTATGAGAGATTTACTTAGAGAGAAACTAGAATTGTTTGTGGCATACCCAGGAGTTTGAGTTTCCGGCAGCAGGAGTTGCAACGATGTTTTGCAATGAAGTTTCTAATTGCCTCTTCCCCTAAATTGGCTGGGCCAAACACCATTCCTCTTGATCTAGAGGAAATATCAGAATATCAATTAGATCACAGCTAAGAAAAAGGAGCTCGACCAGGATTCTCTGAGATACCGAACAGTATCCCATAGTAACCCAGTAAACTTGAAGGAGCCAGCAGAGAACAGAGCACTTTGGGGAAGTGACAATGTTAGGTTTGCTGATTTAAAATTCAAATGCACTTAAATCTTTGGCCCCAACTCCAAGACCTACTGTGAAACTCATTTCAACACTAATCTGATAGAAGAGTGAATTTCTCCATGCACTACATTAAAATAAAATACAGAGAAACCCTTCTTAATGCGTAAGGGGTGAGAGAATGGCGTCCATTACAATGTTCTCCTAGAATCCAGAAAGGTTCGGGTACCATGTAAAATCGACCTGCTAGTGGAGTGCACCTTCTAAGACACACATACACCGTTTCAAACCCAAATGCTCTTCTTAAAACAACCATCCTCCAAATCAAATACCTTACAGACCCTAGAGTCACTCCTTCTAGCTCTTTTGAAAGTCATTTTCTACCCTGAAAACTGCCATGGCTGGCTGGGCTCTTTGAGAAAAGACCAGACGACCATGAGACAACGTATTTGTGGAAGTCAACTACATATGCTTGATGTAGGTGACAAAAGTGACAAATACAGTCAGCACGTATAAGGCACATTTTGAATACTCTGTAATTAAAATAGATCCCTCCCAGATCCCAGGAGCAACGTTCACTCAGTCTCATGTCCCATACAACCATGATTCTCTGGATTTTGACAATCTGTACCCCACAGAACACAGCACACCAGAAACACTGCCGAAAAAACTTTTTGAAAGCTAATATTTTATTTTAATGACATGCAGAGTGGAAACAGCACATTTTAAAATCTGAACTCAATTACTGCTTTTAAATACCACGTCTTAAGAAAAAAGAAAAGCAAACTATCACAAAAGGAAACAATAAACTTTGCTTCTAAGGAATGCGGTTTTTCAAAAAGGACGTGGTGTAAAAATGGACTTTTTTCCATCCGAGTATTGAAACATTTATCTCAATTTCCACTTCCTTTTGGCAGAATAACAGTGGCTGCTCTGAAGATGTGCCAAGCACAGAATGAGGGCTGATGTCAGTTTGATCTCAGATTGCCTCTTTGCTCTGAGGCGAGTAGGTGGAGGGAATCTCTTGGGAAGACAAAGTGAACAGACACCCAGGATTAACTTTCCTGGTCACTCGATCGCTCTTACAAAGGACAGCTCTGGCGGTATGTACCCAGCTGCATAAGCTGCCTCTTGTTAAACTACTCCTCCCTTGCAGTCCATCTGGTAAGAAACTACTTCAGTAAGGTGACACTGAAAGTGGCAAACACATAGAGTCACTCGGTATCTAGACCAGAACTCTACGGTGCCAACAAGTGAAAAATGAAAGTGTGATTTCAGTCACTAAACTGGAAGAATTCCTTTTTATAATCTCCCTAGCATGACTCTGCTGCAATATCTCACTCGTCTGCCCACCCTACCTGCCATTTCTTGTCTCCCAGTAAAGCATTAAAACCCCCAATGTAGGGCCAGCCTGTGTCGTGTGGTTAAGGGGGCTGGATCCCACATGGCCAATTGCTCAGTTCATGTCCCAGACCCAGTGACTTAAACACATGAGATGTGTGTGCCTTCTTTGAATCCTCAGAATAGCATAGGAGGAGACGGAACTGAGGGATGGCCACCCTCCCCGGGAGATGCTTTCTCACTTTCCCTCTCGCTCTGTCTCTGGCCAGCACACTCCTCTATAGTAAATTTAAATTTAAAAAAATGTAGAGATGCACCATTGATTCTCACATAACTGTAAGCGAATCACTGCCCTCTGTAAGCCTCATGAAAGGTAAAGTAAGAGAGTCAAAACTACTAGAAAACATCTATCTCAGGAGATCGGCCACTCCCTGTGCTGGGGAGAGCGAGGGGTGCTGGGATGCTCATCTGCGTCTCTGCCTTGCAGGATGCCTACAGCCTTTCTGTCTCAAATAACTAAGTTTAAAAATAATATGACTATCTGTTTTCCAGGTTTTTCACAACACAGGAAAAGCAGGTGGTAGCTTGGTTCCACTTGTGAGGAAACGCTAATTAGTGCCATCTATACGCAGATTTACTAAAGAACATCTCCTCATTGTTTCACACTTGTGAAAGGCCCAAATCCATCAAGGCAGTAAACTAGGAAGATAGAATCCCAAACTAGCAGTCACTGAGGCAGAAGGCTGGAGAAAGGTGAGAGACGATAGGAATTAGAAACGCTCTGAGAATGTACACCACTAAAGCATCTCTTTTGCTAGAGGATTATTCCCATCCTTTGACTCCTTCTCCTCGTAAACAAGTTACAATCTTCACCATGACTCAGTCTTATTTAAAAACTAGAATTGGGTTGCTAAGGCTAAAATAAAGAACATATGTAAAAGCACTTGCTTAATGCAATGCTTCTCAAACTTTAATTTACACCAAATTACCTGACGAGCTTGTGCAAATCCAGTTTCTGGTTCAAAAGGTCTATGAAGGGTCCTGAGATTTTTTTTTTTTTTAAGAAAGATTTTTGCTATATAGCACATGTGCTTGCTGGAGAGACAGAAACAGACAGAGGGCAAGAAATCACACCCGTCCCCCCAGGTGGGACAGCCACACTGCAGTCCCTTCTCCTCCTCGTGAGATTTTGTGCATGCATGCGCATGTGCACGGCATGAGTTTTTGTTGGTGTTTTTTTTTTAACACATTTAGTTTTAGTGTAATGAAGCAACTTGTAAACTTTTAACATTTAAAACTGAGTATCACCTTTCCTTTCCAGTGAAAGAAAAAGAAAATTAATGGCATGAGTTTTATGCTGCTGGGCCTGGGATTCAAACGCAGTCAAGTATATGGGAGTCCAGTGATGTAACCATTACGCCATCTGCTGGTCCCATGGGTCCTGAGAGTCTAACAGTCCCCCAGATGACACCAACGCTGTTGCTCCGTGGCCCTTGCTTTGCACTTCACACAAAGAAGGCATTTGGAAATGTGAGCCTCATTGCACTACTGAGTGAGAATTCCTCACCATCACTGGACAGGAGCACTTCTTTTATCTTTACCATAATTCCAGCTGCACCCTAAGTTGGGTGACCCCATCAAACCATGCAGGCCACAATGATGCCCTCCTACCAATTTCCAGACTTCCTAGCCTCAAGTCATTAAAAATAAAGTTGCCAGATCAGCAGGTGGTGTGGAGGTTAAGGCGGCTGGATCCCACATGGTAGACTGCATGATTCAAGTCCCAGATTCAGCAGCTTGAGAAACACGCCAGGCACATATGCATGTCTGCCCAAAATCCCAAGAGGAGAATGGATCGTAGTGTGGCCATTCACCCTGGAAGGTGCTTTCTCTCTCTCTCTCTGCATTCCCAGTGAGCACATGTGCCCTATAGCAAAACTTAAAAAAAATAATAATAAAGTTGCCCATAAGAAAAAGATTCACAACCCTAGTTGCCCACAGAATCACATGGGAAACTTTTCTTTTTTTTTTTTTTTTTTTTGAGAGGTTTTTGCTATAGAGCATGTGAGCTCACCAGAAAGAGAGAGAGAGACAGAGACACAGAGTGAGAAAGCACCCCCCAGGAGGGATGGCCACACCACAATCCCTTCTCCATTCTCTTCTTGGGATCTTTGGCATGTACGCATACATGCCCAGCATGAATTTAAGCCACTGGGTTTGGGACTCGAACCATGGTCGATTACATGGGAGTCCAGAGATGTTGTAGCCATTACACCAACTGCTGGTCCCCACATGGGAAACCTTTTAAAAATACAAATATCAGGGCCCTATCTTTGGAGATGCTAATTTGATGCCAATCCTGGGTGTATGTATATGTGTGTGTATATACTTTTTTAAGTTCCCCAACTGACCTTAATACAAACTAAAACTCACTGTACTACGGAATGCAATTAAATACTCAACTGTCAGGACTAGCAGGTGGTATAGTGGTTAATGTGATGAACTCCCACATGGCTTACTATGGTTCGAGGCCCAGACTTAGAGGCTTGAACCTGAGTATGCGTGCCCAAAATCTCAAGAAGAGAATGGAAGAGAAGGGATTGTGGCATGGTCATCACCCATTGGTGGGTGATTGCTCACCTTCTCTCTTGCTATCTCTCTCTGTCACGCTGACAAACACACACACCCTATAGAAAAAAAAATCTCTGTAAATAAATAAATAAATACTCAACTGTCAAGTGGGTTCCTATAGTCTTAGAATTCTAAAAGATGGAATATTCTGGTTGTAATAAATGACATGACAAAGTCAAATTAAAATAAATGACAGTATACATAAGCTTGGTTCATTATATATACAAAAAATGTTCACTGCAAAATTATAACAAAAGAACATACAGTACACGATTTCTACTACAAACCTTGGGCACACAAGGCTACTATGAAATAATGTTCTGGGACCATGTGGTGGCATGGTGATTAAGGTAGCTGGATCGCACATAGTCAATGCATGGTTCGGGTCCTGGACACAGGGACTTGAAAAACATGCTGGGTGCATGTGCTGGGTGCAAAAACCCCAATAGGAGAATAGAGAAGGGATTGTGGTGTGGCCTCCACCCTGGGGGGTGCTTTCTCACTACCCAGGCCCTGTCTGTCTCTCTCCAGCAAGCACACATGCCCTACAGCAAAAAAAAAAAAAAAAGAAAAGAAAAGAAAAAAAAAGAAAGAATATTCTTAGTTCTTAGCTAAAAATAATTTAGCAGAGCTACAAAATAGTAAAGCCTAGGCCAGCTATGCTGAAGTAGTGGTTGCATAATGCTCTATGATGCTGGAGCCATATGAGAAGGTCCCTGGTTCACATCCCCAGGACTCCTTGGGCACAACAGGCACATGCACACATGCCCATGATCTTGGCTGGCCAAGGCTGAGGGTGCATCATGGTGTGGGGGCCCTGTTGGGGTGCTTCTCTCTGTCTCTTAGATAAAATAAACCCCCCCAAAAAAAGCCTTTGTTGTATTCTAAGGGTTATAACATAGACTCTATAGTCAAATATTGTGGTAATTAGATGCACATAAATAATATGGATCAGATTTATCTTCTGTAACTCACCTTGTCCAATTAATATCTAATACATTTTTAGTAGAGTAATTTCTTTGCATAGTAGCCTACAGATGGGACTATATTTAGATTAAACCACTCAATTAAAAATATTTGATATTTATAATACGAGTTCTGAGGTACAGAGAACAGAAATTTCAGGTTTTACTGTATCAAAATTACCCACTTATGGAGGCTGGCAGGTGGCATAGTGGTTAACTCCTACTTGGCTGACCATGGTTTGAATCCCAGACCTGGCAGTTTTCCCTCTCTCTTTCTCTGGTCACATAGGAAAATCATAATGATGATAAATAAAATTAAATAAAAGGGACCAGCAGTTAGTGTAATGACTATGTTGCTGGACTCTCATGTAGTGGATCATGGTTTGAGTCCCAAACCCGGCGGCTTAAACTCACACCGGGGGTGTGTGTGTGTGTGTGTGTCCAAGATCTCCCGAGAGGAGAATGGAGGAGATGGGATTGTGGCGTGGTCATCCCCCCGGGGGGTAATTTCTCGCTTTCTCTCTGTCTCTGTCTTTCTGGTGAGCGCATGCACCCTCTAGCGCTAGCAAAAACCGCTCCAAAAATAATTAATTAATTAATTAATTAATTTTTAAAACGACCCACTTACGTAGTTTTACATATATCTTCTACCATCCAGGAGCCATGTATAGATACTGAGGATGACTAAGAAGTAAAAATGTAGTATGTTAGTAGTTCTCAGTGTTGTCTATGGACGAACAGCATTAGAATCTGCTGGCAACTTGTTAGAAATGCAGATGGTTTGGTCAGACCCCAACCCTACTGAAGCAGAAACTCTGAAGGTGGGGGCCCAGCAACCTGTGTTTTAACGAAGTCTCCTGGTGTTTGTGAGGGAAGCTCGTATTGGAGAACTACCGCTGTCTGCCATATCAATCAGTCCTTAATTGACACTATCACTCTTTTCTACTCCACCCTTACCAGAAGACAGCCTCAACTCCTCTGCTGCTAAATCTTTCCCAAAGCATACCTATGGGATAAAATGCCATGGGAATTCAAATGACAGCCAGATGATTCATACCTCTATAAGAATGTACCTTTAAAAATTGGTTAAAAAGATGGGACCAGCAGTTGGCATAATGGCTACGTCACTGGACTCCCATGTAGTCGATGGTGGTTCAAGTCCCGGACATGGTGGATTAAACTCAGGCCGAGCACGTGTGTGTGTGCTCAAGATCCTGAGAGGAGAATGGAGGAGAAGGAATTGCAGCGTGGCCATCCCTCCTGGGGGGTGACTTCTCACTTTCTATCTCTCTGTCTCTCTCTGTCTTTCTGGCAAGCGCACATGCCCTATAGCAAAACCTCCAAAAAAAATTGGTTAAAAAAAAAATGGAAGTACGAATTTGTCTTGATGCAAAATAATTTTGAAATCCATGCATAGTTTATTTATAATGTGCATTTTCTACAAATTTTTAATGCCTCGCATTTAATTTAAACTTCAACTTTGACTTGAATTAGGCAATCCGATAATTAAGCTTGATTGTTTTAGCCTCTCATAGGTTTGCTGAATAAAATGCTTATGCCCTCAGCTTTCAGTTTATCAGTAAGTGAAGGAAGATGCCACGCAAGATCAGAAGTAATGTTATTGTGAGGACAACAAATAAAACTCTGCTTTTCTCACCACATTAATTGTTTTCATGTCAAAGCTTATAGAGGCTAAACTCACCAATATTTCTCTTGTGCTTGGGCCACTGGAAAACTCAGAGTCAAATGTGCAATCAAATTCTAGCTATTACAGTAGTCCTAATAATTTCCACTTATGTGTACTAATTTAATTCCAAAGTTAATCTTATTTTAGTTCCATATTTTTTACCCTCACTCTCTAATCTTTGCTTTTTTAAAATCTTAATGTTTTATGAGTATATGTGTGTGTGTTTACTCCCTCAAAATCTAAGATATAAGCTAGAAATACATATATATGCTTAAAAATTATTTTTTAATTTTTAAAAAATTATTGTATTTAACTTAATTTATTACTATTATTTTCTTTTTCAGTTTGATCAAACAGAGAGGGAGAGTGAGAGAGCAAGCCACCAGGTCCAGGACTTGAACCACAGTTGGCCATGTGGGACTCTAGCACCTTTAACCACCATGCCACCTACTGGTCCCATTATAATTATTTTTAAAATCATGTGCAGGTCTATGGCACAGTCAGCAGCATCTTTTTTTTTTTTTTTTTTTTTTTTTTTTTTTTTTTTTTGTTTCATGGGTGTGG